ACACACACACACACACACACACACAATGTTGCTTGGTTCCCAATGTTCTTCAAGGTTTGTTTTTCGACTGAAGAAAGAAACCCATAGGTTTGAGGGGAGTGGATGATCAAATAATCATTTCTGGCTGAACTATTTCATTAAATCTTAAATAAAATCACATTATGATGGAGTTCCTACAAATATCCGAGTGTTAATTTCACATAATACAGCAGTTTCAGTGGGAATAGGAAACGTCTCACTCACCTTCCCAAACTTCGAAGTCTTTGAAGGCGAGTTCAGAGCCGGAGTCGTCCAGCAGCACCTCTCCGTTGAGCGTGAACATCATGGTGCGTTCGTTCATGTCCACCATGCAGCCCACCACGTCTCCAGACTGCCAGGAGCGGCCGAAGTGCTCGTTGCCCTGATGCCAGCGCTGAGCCTGCAGAAACACAGCTCAGCTTCCATCTGTCCTCAACACGTGTGACGGCTCTCAGTGTTTCTGCATCACGCTCACCTTGAATCCATCAAAGACGAAGGCCTGGTCGTCTGAGCCCAGCTCCAGGTCCGGCAGACAGCCGGGTCTCGCCCAGCCCACCCGCATCTCTCCCGCCGTCACCACCTCCAGCTCAAAGTACCACTTCCCTCCGTTCACGCTGTAGGTCTTCTCCGCTCGGAATATCCGGAAGCGCTCCGCAGACGGATTACACACGTCTGCTCGGGCCGCTGCGCAAAACACACACGCATGAGCAAACCACCACTGGATGATGAGCTGAATATAATACGCTAGAGTGCTCCAAAACAATGACAAATGCATTTAGAAGATATCTGAGGACAGATGGAAGCTGAGCTGTGTTTCTGCAGGCTCAGCTCAATCAGAACTAAAAACCACCAATGCAGATCAACGATTCTGATGACATCATTCTGCACTTCAGAGTCGCCGTCCAATCAAATGCTCGCTAGAATCTGAAGTGCCCCGCCCCCTACACTATAAGAGACACTGAAGCTAAATCAGTTCATCATTTCTGACACAGGGAGTGATTCAGACAGTGTATTTTGTATTTATTGTACCTTGCTACGTGTACTGCGTTAAGCTAACTGAGACTTGTTATAGCACTTGTATATCATTGCTCTCTTGTTGATTTTGATTGCTTCTATTGTCCTCATTTGTAAGTCGCTTTGGATAAAAGCGTCTGCTAAATGACAATGTAAATGTTGGCTATCTTAAAAATTTAATTAATTTCATGTTTTACTGCATTTTAACACAAAATTGGGCTCATCAAGTGTTATTTTTGTATCATTGATATACTATTATAGTTTTTGTTAGCTTTTTGAATTAGATTTTTTGTAAAAAATATTTTCTGTTTTCATTTTAATTATTTAATTAATAAAAACATTTTTTAATTTAATTATAATTTTTTTTTAAATCTTGTGTTTTTGTCATTATTATTATATATTTTTTTATAAAATACTATTATATAGTTTTTATTATGTTTTTAGTTTTGTAATTTCAGCACTTTAACTTACACTAAATGAAAATGAGAAATGCTGCCTTGGTAACTAGCTGAAAAAAATAAGATGAATTTTTTTTATACATTTTATTTTATTTCAGTTAATTTGTATTTTATTTCAAGTATTGGAAATATTTTTTATGGCTAGACTCCTGGTACCGTGGTCTTGATCCGGGGCCTCCAGGTTGAATCCGTATCCCAGCAGCGTCCGCACGGCTTCCCGCAGACTGTCCTTGTTTGATTTCTTGGTTCTCTCGTCCAGCAGAACGTAAGGAACCAGACGAGGGTTTCTCTTGCTCTTGATGTCCTGCAGAGACACAGAGATGAGTGTGAGGAGACATCACGGACACTGCGTGGGACTCGTCCTGTCGTCTGTGACCGTACAGAGGAGTCCAGACGGGGATCTCACTGACAGCTGGCTCCAGTCTCATTTCTCAGTCCGTTTATATCACACAATAGCTATTTCTACTGTAACTGTAAAACTACTTCATATATGAAATATTTGCGTTCATAATCTATTTTTGATATTCCAGTGAATGAAATCCTTCAAACTTGAAATCTGCTTCATCTCATTTGATTCTTTTCTCCATTTTCCTCTTTATTTGTACTTAATAAACACATATTTCTGTATCCAGGACTGATTGCACAGACACTATTGGACGAAAGCTGAACTGGATGATGACGTCACTGAATCATCAATGAACTGACTTTAGCTGAAAAATGACTGTTATTGTCTCAAAATGATGTGATTTTGATTTTTTTTTGTTTTTATTTATGAAGTAAATGTGAATTGGATCACTATATTGGATCAATAATTGTATCATAATTGTACAATACTATTGTATTTTGTACATGTAGTGTATCCAGTTTCACTGTGAATGATAAAAATATAATCATTTCATTCATTTCAACAAATTTACCATCAATACAGATGCTGCATTCGTTGCATCCAACATGTTTTCTCACTAACGCTCAGAAACTCAGGACTTTAAAAAGTTAATGGTTTCCCATTCCTAACTGTGACGTTGACATTCATGTGCGTTCAACTCAATAAATCCTATCGTCATGACTTGAACACACCATATAAAAGAGTCCAATCATGCAGTGTATGTTTTGGAAGCATAAGTGGGTTTAGGACGGAGCCGGTATGTACACTACACACACTGACCTGCTGGACGCCGTAGGTCCAGCCCTGTCGTATGCGGTCTCGCGCCCAGACGTTGTGAGCGTTCTCTGCCAGCTTGTCCACCATGGCCTCCTGGGTAGATGCCAGTTTGATGTGGCTCAGGTCCATCGGGGCCGGTTTATACCCGCTGGACAGCTGGTATCTGACAGGAAAACACACGCTAACTGACCAGCAGACGAGCAACTAACGCTTACTACATACATGATATCAACACGTAACAGACACGCAGGAAACTCAAATGTGGGACAGAGATTCTGTTCAGAGGATGCTGGTTAGTGCTCAATCTAGTTAACCAGTGTGATGTTTAATGGAAAAGTGAGATATCAGAGCTTAGCTTAACTAGTTGTGACACCAATATCCCAAACACAACATAAATCCAGACACATGTTAGTATTTCATGACTAACGTTTGACACTCACTTTGCTGAAAGCTTCAGATTTGTGACTTTCTCTGCGGCTCGTTCGTCCGCCACTCCAACATGACAGCCCAACGCCAGAAGAGTCCTGCAGCACACACATCAGATCACGGCATGATGGGAAAATTGTGATTTACATCAGTGAATCTCAAGAGGGTCGTGAACCAAAAACAGATCCTAGATGTGATGCGTCGCACACAGCAGTGAAATCAATGATAAAAACTATAAATGCAACTAACCATAAAATCGTGTATAGTTATGAGAGCAAAATAAACTGATGAGAAACACGTGTCACATCTTCTGTTGCTGATGAAGTCTGTGTGTCAGTCAAACTCTGCAGCAGATCAGAGTCTAGTCGAATTAGTCAGATGTCAAAGCACACAGTCTGTGTTCATCCTTCATCATCAAAACCCAGCAACAAAACGACACTATGAGCTAGACAACATTAATCATGTTAGTATTTGATTTAATGAGATGTTTATTTGTGTGCAATAAACAATCCAGGACTGTGTCAGTTGTCAGATGACAGGTGTGCCGCTCAGTCAGTCAGTCCAGTGTGACTCCTGCACAATCACACACAACACCTCATTAAGACACGAGCGCAGCGCAGGGACTCACACACACACACACACCACAGGACTGTAATTAAAGTCATTAGAACGCTTCTGAAACAGAAAAGAAAGAAGATGACAGAAAAGAGGAGTGCTGATAGAGACAGACACTAATGACAGTCAGAGTCTCCAGCACAAATATGATTCATCTCAAAGACAATGTGAGCTTATTGACTCTATTGACTCTGATTCATCAGTGACGTTAGTTCATGTGACAGCACTGGATCTACTAGTGAAGAACGACACCGATCAATCTGATTCACTACATCATGATTTCAGCAGCATGTGCCTTTTCACATATGTGACCCTGGAGCACAAAAGCAGTGTTAAGTCGCTGGGGTATATTTGTAGCAATAGCCAACAATACATTGTATGGGTCAAAATTATACATTTTTCTTTTATGCCAAAAATCATTAGGATATTAAGTAAAGATCATGTTCCATGAAGATATTTTGTACATTTCCTACCGTAAATATATCAAAACTTAATTTTTGATTAGTAATATGCATTGCTAAGAACTTCATTTGGACAACTTTAAAGATGATTTTCTCAATATTTAGATTTTTTTGCACCCTCAGATTCCAGATTTTCAAATAGTTGTATCTCAGACAAATATTGTCCGATCCTAACAAACCATACATCAATGGAAAGCTTATTTATGATGCATAAATCTCAATTTCAAAACATTGACACTTAAGACTGGTTTTGTGCTCCAGGGTCACATATTTAAGTGCTAACCATCCAACGAACATGAAACACAATTACAAGTCAATACAAAAACAAGGTCTTCAATTATTATACCAAATGTAATGTCATTACTAGTAAACTAAGATATCAAACTGATTAACACATCAGATGAAACTAACTTGAGCGTCTCCTGAGACATCTGTAGGTTGTAGCTGCGCTCTTGTTCAGGAAGTCTGGAGAACTCCACCAGACACGGATGCTGCCGTTTATTATCATCCCTCACCTGCATCATGAATGGAGGGAACCATATTTGTGTTAGAAAATGCAGGAATTCATAACAGACTATGCATGAGTGCATGGAGATCAAGAGCTTTCCACCATAGACATATTCAACAAAAAATACATTTTAAAGTTCATTTTTGATAGGGAATTAATGAGGAACATTAAATGATAATGGCAGAACAATCAATCACACGTTATAACTGCATTCACAATAATTGAACTAAGAATATTTTATGATTATTTTATCATGTGGCATGACTTAAAACCATTCATCTAGTGTCAGCTGACTTTCCTCTTGCTCATCAACAACCTCACTGTTTCTGCTGGACTGGGGTTTGTGAGTCGATGAAAAGATATTAAAGGGGTCATATGATGCTGCTAAAAAGAACATTATTTTGTGTATTTGGTGTAATGAAATGTGTTTATGCGGTTTAAAGTTCAAAAAACATATTATTTTCCACATAATGTACATTATTGTTTCTCCTCTATGCCCCGCCTTTTTGAAACGTGTCGATTTTTACAAAGCTCATCGTTCTGAAAAGCGAAGTGTGCTGTGATTGGCCAGCTATCCAGTGCGTTGTGATTGGCCG